AAAAACATATTAAAAAGAGTGCACCACAGTCAAGTGAGGTTCATCCCAGGGATGAACATACAAAAATCAATAAATGTAATTCATCACATCAATAGACTTAAAGATAAGAATCATATTATCATTTCACTAGGTGCAGAAAAAGCATTCAGCAAAATATAGCACTCCTTCATGTACAAAACACTAGAAAAAGTCGGGATAATAGGAACATAACTCAACGTTCTAAAAGCTATCCATGCTAAGCCCAAGGCCAACATTTTTCTAAATGGAGAAAAATTGAAAGCATTCCCTCTAACTACTAGAACCAGACAGGAATGCCCTCTTTCACCATTTCTATTTAACACAGTACTTGAAACTCTAGCTAGAGTAATTAGACAAATGAATGAAATTAAAGGGATATGGATAAGAAAAGAAGAACTTGAACTACCACTATTTGCAGAAGACATAATTCTATACTTAGAGGATCCAAAAAATTCCAACAGAAAATGTCTACTACTAATAAATAAATTTAGCAAAGCAGCCACACATAAAATCAACACCCATTAATCTAAGGCATTTCTTTAAATCAGTGACAAATCCTCTGAAACTAGGAAAGCTACCCCATTTACAACAGCTTCAAAAAAAAAAAATTAAATACGTGGGAATCAACTTAATGAAAGAGGTGAAAGACCTCTACAATGAAAACTACAGAACACTAAGGAAAGAAATTAAAGAAGATGGAAAGATCTCCTTTGTTCTTGGATAGGCAGAATTAATATTGTCAAAATGACCATACTACCAAAAGCACTATATAGATATAATGCATTTTGACCCCCTGCCTAATGGAGGAAAAAATAATTCCAAATCTTCTTCATGTTAGATTAGGCCCCAACTTCCTTAGTAAGACTCCTATAGTGCAAGAAATAAAATCAAGAATCAATAAATGGGATAGATTGAAACTGAAAAGCTTCTTCTCAGCAAAAGAAACAATTAGTGAGGTGAAGAGAGAGCCTATAGAATGGGACCAAGTTTTTACCACAAGCACATCAGATATAGCACTAATCTCTAGGATATATAAAGAACTCAGAAAAATTAACACCCCAAAAATAAATAACCCAATTCACAAATGGGCTAACAAACGGAACAGACATTTCTCAGAAGATGATATACAACAATCAACAAATGTATGAAAAAATGTTCAGTGTCTCTAACAATTAAAGAAATGCAAATCAAAACTACTCTAAAATTTTATCTCACTCCAGGCAGAAAGGCAGCTATTAAAGAATACAAACAACGATAAGTGTTGGCAAGGACTGGGGGAAAAGGCACACTCATACATTGCTGGTAGGACTGCAAATTGGTGCAACCAATCTGGAAAGCAGTATGGAGATTCCTTGGAAAGCTGGGAATGGAACTATCACTTGACCTAGCTATCCCACTCCTCGGTCTATACCAAAAGGACTTAAAAACAGCTTACTTCAGTGATGCAGCCACATCAATGTTCATAGCAACACAATTCATAATATCTTTACCCTATGTAGAGGTATGAAGATAGAAATGGTGTGATTCTACTTTGTGTACAAGCAGAGACATGAAAAATTGTGCTCTACATAGGTACTACAAATTGAAATGCAATCTAGTCCTGTACAACAAATTAGAATAAATAAATTTAAAAAACTATGACATACCTTTAAAGTAATCACAGCATATAAAATTAAAAGTCATCTGCTAAAGTTTTTCATTATTTCTTAATAATTTTTTTAAAATTACATATGGACACAATACATTTAATTTATATATTTTCATGTGAGGCTGAGGATTGAAACCAGTGCCCCTCTAGAGGGCAAGTGCTCTACCACTGACCTATAACCCCAGCCTTGTTGTTTGATTTTGAAATAAAAATATTTGGGTGACAGTGGGGAAATAAATGAATTTATCACAAATAGCAAAGTTTAGGAAAAGAGAAAAGTTAGCAAATGGATGTCATATTTTCACGGAAATACTGACAAATATCTGATTTCTGAAATTCTAATAAGTTGCTTTTACCAACAATGTTAAAAAATATAAGTGGTATGTAGGTTGAGAAGTGTAGAGGTTGCCAGGGATAATCATAAAAAACCATGAATCATCCCCAAGTTACCTTTTTGGTTATGATTCTGAGTACTAATGTGGACTATAAAATTAAAACATTTCTTAAGGATTACCATTTGGTTTTATTTTGTGCCATAATTCCCAAAGTAATTTTCAGTTTTTTTCTAAATAATAGATGTTAATGGCTCAATATCACATTATTGTTTGAAGATGAATAATATGTGACAGAACATTATATTTTCCTTTAATAAAAATCATAGGTACAGGTGTTTGCATTTTAATATTAAAAACAATATTCTGAATGCTTCTGCAACATCTGTTTTAAATACCCTTTTACTTAAAATTCTAATTAATGATAACCTCTCATCACTGCAGAAGCTGCTCTAACATTTAATAGAAAGGTGTTATACCTAAGTAATGTGGCACATTACTACATGATTTCAAGTGAATTTGAGGTGCAAAGAAAAGCTTTGCCTTTGATTATCTAACATACCATACTAAGGTAGCTTCACCACCCTTCCTATTCCTGCCAGAGAACCCCACTGTACCCATTACCTTTAGATCCTTTTACTTATTACCACTGCCTTCTTAGTCTGACTGTATTGACGTTTATTCCAGCTAAAGTGTTTCCAAAGTTTTATTTGTGGGTAGTCTCCTATTTCCGAGCATGTACTGGGTCAGGTTATAGGCATGTGCATGTGTTCCAGCCTAATCTTATGGGGGTACTCTGCTTAAAGAGCTTTATAGAGTTACCATAAAGCTAAATTGCTGGCCAAATTTAACTAATTAAATTTAACAAATTTAACTTCGGTTTGACATAGTATTTAAGTTGCATAAAGCATAGTATTTAAGTTGAAAAAGGTAAATTAGGTTACTTAATAAATCAGGCAGGTCTACACTTCTTGATCAATAACATTGGGTTAACAACCAAGGTCTTCTGAGTTTTTAGAGTGTCAATGCTGATGGCTTTTTTTTTTACTTATATAACTATACATATATGTCTACTGTTTGTAAAACTGATACTGTTATGGTTTGGACATTAAATGTTCTCTGAAGATTTGTTGAAGAGCCTGAGGTGCTATTAGGGGAGTGGTTGTAGCCTTTAGGAGGTTGGGCCTTCTAGAGGAAGGTTGGCACAGAGTGTTCTTAAAGGAGATATTTGAGCCTTGGTGTGTCTGTCTGTCTCTCACTCTGCAACTTGGTGGCTATAAGGTGAACAGATCTTCTCTGCCACATATTCCTCACCTTAACACAGACCCAGAAACCATGATGCCAACTGACAACTGAATGAAACCTCTGAAGCTGTGAGCCACAATACCGTTCCCCCCCTTTTGTAAATATTTATTTTTTAGTTGTAGTTGGACACAATACCTTTATTTATTTTTATGTGGTGCTGAGGATTGAACCTAGGGCCTCAAGTGCTAAACAAGCACTCTCCTACTGAGCCACAACCCCAGCCCCCAAATTTTCCCCTTTTATGTTTTGTCATAGTAATAGAAAGCTAAAAAATGACCTAAATGTCATTTTCTTATTTTAGAAATTGCCTTTACAAGGACATATTCCGCTTTTGCTAGTATGTTGTCAACCTAACAATGCTACAGACAGAATTTATTTATTTATTTTTTTGGTGCAGGGGATTCAACCAGTATATCCTGGTCTGTGCATGTTAAGCACTTGTTCTATCACTTAACTAAATATATAGCCCCGAGACACAGTCTTTTCTTTGAGCTCATATAATTCATTCTTTAAATTAGTATCAAGACAAAACTTACATTGAAATTTGTCTCTCAGAGTAAGTTTAGTAACTATTATTTAATATGTACCTGAAGTTTAAATGAGAGCTATTATAATAGAATATTATTCCAGTATATAGAACTGGAATAAAATGTATAAAAAGTGCAAGTGAACTTGCTTTTAAACAATAACTTTTAAAAGCTATGCATTTTGAATCAGTATTAGATAAAATATAAAATTCAGAACAAATAAGCTACAACACTATCACATGATATTCTAAATCATAATGATAGTAGAATTTTACTTTTTGAGTTATTAAAACAGTTGTTTCACAAGTTTTAATTTCTAAGGTTCAAACTATAACACATTAAGGATATTCCAATGATGTCTGATTAAAATGGTGATTACCATGAAATGAACCTGGCCAGAAAACCATCACATTTTCAATCACATGTGTCCATTTGAAGAAAGCAAAGACAAGCAGCTTCCTTTACTGTCCCAACCTGCTATGATCAGAATGGAAGGACCTGTGTCTTCACCTCTTTTCACCTGTACTCAGTACCTCCTAGACATGGCCACACAGGCAAATTAAGATCTGTTTCCAATTCATTTTTAAAGCAGGACTTAGTTTGTCAAATATTTTGCCAAGTATGTGGGAGAAAGTTTCTCATTCAAGATCCATAATAATTCTTTCAAAATTTACTATGATCAGCCTTGAAACACTATATTCTTTTTTTAAACCTTCAGAAAAAGTGAAAAGAAATTTGACATTTTCCCCTCAGTATACCTTAAACTTTGATAATTTTCACATCTACGTGCCTGTGAATCACATTTCATGACTAAGGTAAACTCCAATTAAGACTATAGCTGTCCATCCTATTTAAATCAAAGTGTCCTATTTCTAAAAACACCTAATGAACCAATACTTAAATGAGGATCTATAAAGTTTGCATCTCTAATTCTCAAGGGGATAGAAGAACTAAGCAAGTTCTATACAGAAAGCAGTTACATAAGTCTAAATTCTTTGAAAAAGCCAATATGTTGACCAAATGGTCTTTAAATTTTTTTTTTGAAAACAAGGATTTCCAATCAGCTGTTTTTTCCCAATTGTTAAAGCAATTAGTTCATAGAGATATGTAATTTCTGCAGCAGCAACAACTCACACAATTAATTTTATGGCTTTAATCATATTTACTCACCCTCCTAATAGTATCTGTGGTTGGCTGGATTCATTTGTGATACCAAATATATCAGGAATTAGATCACCATTGAAGCTGTTAAAAAAAATAATAAAAAACATTAAATAGCTATTTTATTAAAAAAGAAGAAAAAACAAAACTCTGGGAGGTCTGGTAGACATCACAATGTTCACCAGTGTCTACTTATAGTCAATAAAATGTTGGCAGAAGTAACACATATCACTTCCAAGCCAGTGTTTAGTCACTGTTGCTTGCTACAACCCTTACTAAGCATGTTACAATAATGTAAAAACATGTATTTTGGATGGTTTAGCTACAAAGGTAGTGGGGTCTCTGACAGCCTACCTTACTGAGCAATGTCACAGCAGAGCCTACTGCTGACCTACAGTGGACCCATTATAGAGTGAAAAAAAAAAAAAAAAGTTTGTTGTGAGATTTTGGGATTGCTGTAACTTCTACATAATCTAACCTATTCCTGAGGGATAAGGAGATGGTTTCGATTCCTAGAAAGTTATTTCTGAGCCATGACCCAACTTGTTTATTTAGATGCTATAAGTCCTCACATGCTCACATGATAACAATGCTCACATGATATAAAATTCCATACTAGTTGTTGACTCTTGTAACAGCAATGAAAAAAACACAAGCATGAAAGAAATCAAGGTGAACACCCTTAAGATTAACCCATGGATTTATCAGTCATGCTTCACATGGTCACTGACCTACTGATAGGGTTCTAACAACTATAAGAAAGTTCTTAATGGAAGAAGATGGCCATTTGTAGCTGTAGCTCCAAGAATGATTGCTACTGTATTATCAAAACACCCTGTCAGAAATTTGGAATAAATTAACCTAGTACGTGAGACTATTTTAAGGACAAATATAACACAAAGGAAGAGCTGCAAAAAGGGCAAAATTTCTCTTTAATGTAAGAATCTTTCTATATTTCTAGAGGAAACCCTATATTCTTCATATCTGTCAATTGGGCATAAACAATTTTAATCAAAAACTACTCTCTTAGTTCTTTGAATAATGACATAACTACTAACATCGGTCCATTATGGATACATATGAAGCTATAAAAGCACAGATCTTCCTTTTTTCAAAATAATAAACTTCATTTTTCTCTCCTTCATAATAGCAAACCACTAGCATACAATCAATAATATAGCCCTCTATTAGCTTTAAGAAACTAATTTAATGTCAATACTACTTAGCAAAGTAGCTTCTGTCATAAAAGATTATATTTGTAAATTTAAAACCATTCCCAGGGAAGCAGAGTATATACTTACTCCATAATTAGTGGCTGATCTTGAAAAGTCCTATTGAGTATGGTCATATTGTTAGGATCTATAAAGAGAGAATACACATAAATTAGTGGGCATTTATATATTATTTTTGATTTACAGTTAGGGAAAATATTGTTTTATTCTTTGCAAGATTTGTTTCCAATTCATTCCAACTATTATCATTAATGAGACACTGTAAATCTAATTTCAGGATAAAATATTGACAGAGTTCATCCTATAGTGAAAACCAGCATGATGAGTTTTGTTTAAGATTCCTTCTAACTATCTGCCAATTCTCCTTTGTATACAATTTAGCATTAAAGTAGTTGATAATGAACAAGGTATTGGTGCACAGAAGCCAATATATGCAACACTATCTAACTCTGCTTTATCTAGGCTCACTGACAAGCAATGCTTTGCACACAGTACTCCTTTAAATACTTCATAGTAACGAATGGATGTTTATAAAGCATTGATTGAGATTATTGTCTATAGTTCCAAATGTGACAAAACACAACTGCATTTGCCTTCCTTGAAATCTGGCTCCATGAACAAAGTTTCTATCATTATTTCCTTTTCAGATAAGACTTGAAGGTTCATGGGTGGATATGGTTAGACAACTCTGAATCTCTACTTCAACTTTTTTGTGCTTTCCTGAACTGGGGAGTAACAACCCAAAATAGTACTTCCTAGATATCCTTGCATCTAAGACACTGAATTAAGTTAAGCCTTGTCAATCATTTACACTGTGAGTTCTATCTCTGTATCTGCTCACTAATTTGAAAGTTTTAAGAGGTCATGTGTAGCATCCACTTTGCTGACAAGAATCATGGAAAGCACTGCATCACTGTGACAGCTATTTTGCAACTGGCCATTTCTGATTATAGCTTTCTTAATGGCATTGAGAACTGTTCCTGAGTATTTAACCCAGAGTTTGTTCTTTAGCTATCTCAACAATCTCACAAGACATTAAAACCTTTTGATAAATCTTGCTTCCTTAAACTAATAAGAATGGACTTTGAAATTGACCCCAGGTTGCTTCTGAGTTGAAAAAGAATAATTAGAACTTCTAAAAATTTTTTACAATTATTAACACTCAAGAACAGCATTTTGAACTAATTTCAGAACAATATGTTTGCTATATTTTCCTAAGACTATCAGGCATATTTTCCCACATCTTTCCAATCATAAATATTAAAAATTCTTAAAACACATTCACCTAATGTTTGATTTTGTCCCCAGAAGATAACAGCTCCTAATTCATTGTTGGCATGATTTTGGGGAAAATATGTTAGAAGGACATCCATTTGTGAATCACCATCATAATCCCCAGGAACTACACTTGTTATCAATGCACTGTGATTCCTAAAAGAAATAAACATTTTAAAATATTAGAGAAGTTACAACAGTAAAGGACATCTTTATATTTCTACCATAAAATATTTTCAATGCCAAACTGAAAATATCACAGAACTGATTAATCTTATTCTTTTCTTTATTATCACTCCTTCTGTATGTAGACTACTTTGTTCTATAAGAATTGAGAATGAACGCAGAGCAGTCCTACAAAACAATAGATCTGAAACATACCAAGAGAAAACCTATCTATCTCTGTACCTGCCAATATTAAACATTGGCTAATACAGTCATTTTAGTTAGTCCTTTTGTCAAAAATACTAAGATATTTGGATAGTGTTTGTAATAAGTGGAGGAGCATAACAGCTAAAGCAACAAAGAATATCAGTGTGACCTATCAATTAAGATATTTGTAAGACATTTAACTTGGATTTTAATGTACATTCAAAACTTAAGGATTTTATTTTTCATTTTTATATTTTTTTTAGTTGTTGATGGACTCAATACCTTTATTTTGTTTGTTTCTATTTCTATGTGGTACGATCAAACCCAGCACTTCATGCATGCTAGGCAAGCACTCTACACTGAGCTGCAACCCTGGCCCCTTTTGAAAGCTAGTCTGAATTCACAAGGGAAAACAAATTTTTATGAAATCTGATAATTCGCTATCCAAACATATATATCTAATTTTATATTTTTAATAAAATAATTCTAAAACTATTTATATTAACCTTGAACACTTAACATCCTGGAGTCTTCTCATAATGTTGTCTGAATGATAAACCAAAAAATAGGGCTTAAATTTATATTTAATTCTACTTAGAGCAAATAGCAACACAACAAACTTCCAATTAGATGATGTATAATTATTGCCCTTCTCCCTCTCAGTCACCAAGGTAAGAATCAATAGGTGTATTTCTAGAAAGTTTCAGATGTTAAGGATTTAAGTAATAGCAGAAGGTAAGGTTTTGGCCTTAAGTTAAAAACAGGGAGTTAATAGAAAGTTCACAAACAAAACAAAACAAAACAAAACAAAACCAGTCTGATCATTGCAGCTACCTCCACCCCTGGCATGCCAGCCAAAGAGGAAAATATATAAAGGACAAGATAGAGTACAGAAGTCCCATCATGCAAAGAATTTTCAATTAGCTCTTTAATGACTTAATCAAAGATGAATAATAGACTATGAATATTAAAGAAAGAAAAAATAAATAGCAATGTGAAAGAACTTGAAGAAAACAGAGCTAATGAAGGGAACCAAAGAAAACTTCAAAATTACAGTTGAAGCCAGAAAAGAAAAGTACAATCATAAAAACAAACAAACAAACAAAAACCCATCACGCTAAGGTGCTAAGGGATAAAAACAGAAAGAGAAGAAAGAAAACTTTGGAAATAAAAAAATAAGACAACTAACATATGGAAGTCTTAGATGATAAAGTACAGAACCCCTCTCAGAAAACAAAACAAATAAAAACCAAGATGACCAAAGTAAAAACAAACAAAAAGATAAAGGAACGGGGATGAATTGAGCAAATCAATAACCAACTGGTAAGAATTTCTTAATGAACAACAGGGGCCCAGCTATGCCTAACAGAGCAAATGAAAAACAATCTGTATCTAAAAACATCACCAAGAAATTAGAGCAAAGGGATAAAGAAGAGACTCTATAGCTTCCAAAATATACAAGTGACATTTGAAGGATTAAGATAAACAATAGGACTAGATTTTAAAAGAACCCATGAAGCTAAGATTCTCCTCATGGAACTGAGTTTAAACTATGCTATTTATGATAGCTCCTACTCTGCTCTGATTCCAGCTTCCTAGACTATGACTCTCCAAAGTGTACCATCCTATTCTATCAGGCAAATTTTTTTTTTTAAACTCTTCTTCATAACATGTTGTCTTTGCTACCATCTCTTTCTCTTTCTTAAAAGATTCTTACTATTTTTTAATTGTTTTATGTTGTAGACACACATTTTATTTCTTTATGTGGTGCTGAGAATCAAATCCAGTGCCGCACACATGCTAGGCAAGCAAGCACTCTATCACTGAACCACAACCCCAGCCCACAATGTTTTTTATTGGAAGAAAGCATTAGGGAGAGCATTATAACTATTCATGTTGATGATATTTATTTCTACATATTCATATATGTACACAATATAACAATATAATTTTTTTTAAAGGCAGTGTCCCTAAACTTGAACATCCTCACCTAAATTTACTCATATTATAGTCAAGCTAGAATTCAGTGACTCTCTGGAGGTGCTACTTTGGTCTGCAATGAGCCATTTCTTTCCCCTTAAATACACAATTCCTCATTTCCTATAATTTCAAAATTGTGTTGGCTCACTATCATTTGTGGTGGGGGACACTGTTTCATACAATGCCAACCATGAAAAAGAAAAATAAGATTAGATACTTTTTCAAAATTCAGATAATTTCATTTCAAAAGACTGAATTGAATTCCTTCAGAATCTACCTTAATAACTAATCAACTATTAGTCAATTAAAAAGTTAAGACAGAAGTCACTGATCTGCAAATTACACTCCCTGTTTCCCATGCAAAACAATGTTAACCTGAAGAGCCTCATATAATTAATCTACTCCCACAGGCATGCTCTGGATGAGGAACAATATCTAATACATCCAAGAAAGCCTGTTAGATGGCAAAGGAATGAAAAATGTTCACATAGGTACAGATCTCAGTCCACTCAACTTTATTTGTTTTTATTTTATTTATTTTTTAAAGAGGAAATTATTTTAAACTTTAGTACTTTCATTATCTTTCTTGACAAATTACTTACTACTCATACCTTTTAACTAGTAGTTTTGTGTCACATCACAGGTAAGAGTGAGTTCATAAACAACCCAACCAGGTAATCCATATCAATAATTTTGCTAATGACTAATGTTTAAAAAAATGTATAATTTTGTACTTACTTGAAGGATATCTTTACTTTGGGTTTAAAATAGGGTGCATTCTGGTCTGCCAAAAAGACGATTAAATCATTTTCTAAAAGAAGAAAATATATGATGTTAGAAAAATGTTTCCTGGTAAAATATTCATCCAATGGTTATAAACTTTCTGGGCACTGTTGTCAACAAGAAAACTTACTCTATTCCAGTTCATGTACACTTTCAAAGATAGCCCTATTAATCTAATGGGATGGGAACTTAACAGTATATCATAAGTTTAATATTCAAAGAAGCAGAGGAAGGATAACCATAAAAATACATAGTTGGATCAAGACAAAACAAAATCAGTGGATTCTGCCAAGAGTCAGATGGGCTGACATTAAAAAAAAAAAAATACAAAGAACATCCCTTAAAACTGTACTATTGTGTAACAGTGAGACTCTGAATTTAATTCACAGCAAAAACAAAACCACAAAAAACCCTATATTATATCATACTATATATCAATCCCTGTGCTCCCCACGTCCATTATGTTGTTCTTTTAAAAGGTCATTTAGCTCATCACAGAACTTTAACTCTTGTTGTAGATATTTTACAACATGGACATAATAAAACATTTAAGCAGCAAAAACTGAATCCTCCAAGACCCTTCTGCTCTGGCTCCTATAAAATCATCTCCAAGGTTGATGCATTCTTGGAATTCAATTAGCATTCAATGAGATAGACTTTTTAAACCATTTAAGAAAGAACAGGCCAACTACCATCTACCAAGATTGGATTAAGTAGTTACATGTTTGACAGCATAAACACTTCTTGCAAAATGGGGAGTAATTAAAGACAGGAAAAATATCCAGAGCCCACAAGAGGTCAGGATCCTGTCAGTCAGGCTCTGCACTAGCTCCTCACTTTCTTTATGGCCTTGACCTTTATGCAATACCTGCTTTTGTTGGTACTCAAGAATGTTAAGATCTCTTCTAATGCCCACTGTCAGCATCAAGATTTTTTTTGGGGAAAAAAAGGTCTTTGTGATGGGTAAAGCAAATAACTTCCAAGAACCACAAAGTTAGCCCCCCCCCCAAAAAAAAAGCACAGATTTGGAAAATTAGGGTGGTGAAGGTAATGAGAAAGAGTCAGTTGTGCACTAACGACTAGGCAGTTCATGAGGTAGACGAGTTTGTAGTTTGTGAAGACTTTCTCAATAAAGCTCTGGGTTTATTAGTGGTCCTTGCACAACGTTTGTGAAAGGGATGGAGTGTTTGGGGCCTGAAGAGGTTACAGTAGCTTCAGAGAAAACTGAAACCCTGACTTAGGGGGAGGGATTAGTTAAATGGGGAGGCAAAGATAAGTCCTCTATGAGAAGAAACTGTCAAGTTGCATCTTCTGTTCATCAAAGGGGAAACCTGAAGTAAAGCCAAAGCAAATAAAGAGGCCTTAGGAACAGACGGAGAGGCCAGCTACAAAGACTCTTGGAAATCAGGAAGGACTCTGAGTGGCAGGTGATTCCACGGGGACGAGTGGGGTGCGTGGGTGAAGGCCGCGGGCTTCTCAGGAAAAATAGGGGTGTTGCCAGGGCTTTGAGGGGCAGGTCAAAACGTGAAGTGACCGGGACAGAACCCGGGGTTGGAAAAATGGAGAAAAAGGACAAGCTGTCAAGGATGCTGGAGATAAAGGGAGGGCCACAGAGCTAGGAGAGAAGGACTGGGTAATGCAAGAGGACCCGCTACGGGAACAGGGGATGTGGAGAACACCGGGAGGGCACACGGACAGCGGACAGAGGGAGGGCCCGGCAAGCACTGACTTTCCCGCAGCACGAAGAGGTCCGTCTGCTTGTCGGAGTTGAGGTCCCCGAAGGCCGCCAGGGTGCCCCAGGCCTCAGCCCCAAAGAGTTCGGCCGTGACGTTGTGCAGCGCTCGTGCCGGGACCGGCCCGACTCCCAGCAGAGCGAGCCCCGCAAGGAGCGGCGCTAGCAGCGCCCAGGAGCTCGGCAGCCGGCCCGCCGCCGCCATGGCAGCCCCTTGGCCCCCGCCCGCCGGCCCAGCGCCTCGCTTGACGGCAGCCGCAAAGCACCGCGCGGCCGACCAGGACAGAAAGCACGCAGCCTTGAGGCGCTTTCGAGCCGCAGTCGACTCTCCACGCCTTCTCGCGACAAGGGCTGCCCCTCTGACGATAGGGAAACGTGGAGCTGGGGTGAAGCTCGCCTTCGCGCTCACTTCCGGCCGGCGCGCCTCTCGACAGTGTCGCGCGGGGGGGCGGGGCCGGGCGGGTAGTGCACACAGGCGTCCCCCAGGGCTTTTGCCAATTCAGTGGCCGCAGCGCGATGGCCGGGGCCGCAGGGCTCATGGCTGATGTGAGCTGGAAAGTCTTGGAGCGAAGAGCCCGGGCCAAGCGCTCAGGTTTGGCGGGCTGGGGCGCCGCTCCCTACCCCCGCACAGTGGGTGGTGCCTCCCCTTAAGCACCTTGGGCGGCAGGGAGGTGGGGGTCCTGGGATTGAACCTGTTGGATGTGTATTTCTCCTTAGAAAGTCGGCGGCGGCCGTGCCTTTGCTCCAGATGTGCACCCCGCCCCCAGCAAAAAAAGAAAAAAAAAAACAAAAAACAGGTGGCGGCCCTCCCGTCTAGTTTTGTTTCTCTCCGGATCTATTCCGTATTTCCCCTCAGAAAGTAGCGGCTACACGACTTCTCTTGGAGTCTTGCCCCTAGAAATCAGGCGGCGACACATAACTGGGAAAGGAACTGTGGCTTCCCTATGTGTATTCTATCCAAAAAAGTCAAAGAGCTTCAGTTTTAGATTTTGACCCTAAAAAGGTGGCGACTGCTCGTTGCCTTATTTCATACTTCCCTTTTATATTCCCATTAATTTTAAGCTGTAGCCAGATATCTATGTGACAGATATTGATGGACTCGGTGGCTGGGGCCACAAAGTAAGTCATATTGAGCATACTTAGGGCCCAGAATGAAGTGAGCCCCTTCCCTGGACAAGTGGCCTTTAGGACCTGTACTTTCCTTTCATGGTTTTGGGAACCCGAGGCTGTAGAGGTCAGAGGATGCCAACAGTGCATGTGTCCTGAACTGACTTGTTCAAATTGCAAAGTCAGGACTTTAAATTAGCACTTGTGGCTGATAGCTTCTCCAAGATCTGAGAATGAAACTTACCAAATTTCTCACTGACTAAATGTAATATTTTTTTAAATGTCTTATTCTTTTTTTTTTTTTTAACGTTGCTGGGGATTGAACTCCGAGCCTTTTTGCACATGAGGCAAGCACTCTACCAACTGAGCTATATCCCCAGCCCTAGATATAGTCTTGATCAGAAAGTGCACCCTTAAAGCTGGAGAGTTGATGGATGGAGAGTCTTCCACTAAGGAAACTATGTATCATTATTGAGGGATGGAAAAGATATTGTCCAGGAAAATTAAATCTGCATTTGCATTAATATTAAGCAGGGTTTTCTTGTTGTTTTTTTTTGTTTGTTTGTTTGTTTTGTTTTTAAACTTTGCTCATTTAATGAAGTTCTTAGTTATCTGTTGTGTACCCTGACTTTTTTTTCCTTTAAAACACATAGAAAGTGTTTTATTTCATCAACCATCTTTGTTGCCAATTAAATTGTTTTTAAATGTTAATTTGTACATTTATTTACTTAAGGTTATAAGAAAACTCACAAGGTATGAGAGAATTTTTAGAAAAGGAGTCGTCAGTACATTTTAGAGTTAATACAATAATTTGAAGTAGTCTATAAAGTATTTTTGTTTCATGTTTCTTTAAGTGTTTTTTTTTTTTTAATGTCAGGTGGAAATACTGAGTTGGCTATTAACTATGTGATTATCTGGGCTATAAGAAGTGTTAACGAATTGGTTATGTCTGGACAAAGAATAATCAGTGTTTTCTCACAGGGAATCGAGCATTGCCCCCAGCATTTATTTTTTCAGTATTTTTCTTTTCTTTTAATAAGCACATGGAGTTTATTTTCTTTAGTCTTTACTTTATTTTCTCTTAAATACATGTTATAACAATAAGCTTTGAAAACCTTATTTTTCTTTTAAATGAGAAAAACATTTGTTTTATGTAACTTGTTGAATGCAGTTGCTTAAATCCAGTTTCATGTAGAAAGTAGTTAAGTATATAGTATTAATTTTGGATGTTCCTACACGTTTACTTGGTAGAGTTAAAAGAGAAAACAGTTGAAGCTAGTCCTCCAAATTAGCTGTTTTAAGTTTTATATTCTTTTAACTGTATGAAGTATAGATGATAAAACTTCTCAGTGAATCACTTACTTCTTGGGTTGTTAAAAACAACTTTGATTGTGACTTTTAGAAAAATATATAAATAGTTTTATTTGAAAGTTGAACTAACCTGCTTCTGGTATAGACTGCTCTGCAGAATTCTAAGCATTGTTACATAGTAGCATAATTATTTTACTGCACAATTAAGCATGCTACTCTTATGTGTAATAAATGAATATTATTTTTCCTGCCTCATCTTTATAAGTAAATGTAATTTATCAAACAAAGGAAATAAAATTTTCAAGTCATAAAAGCGAAAATAAAATTATATAATGATCCTCAATTATTGCCTTTTGTTGTGCACTGCATCATGTTAATAACTGCTCACACTGCTTTCAATTAATCTAATGCTGATTGCTTCTAACCTTCACTAAACAGTTTTAAAATTGCTGTAATGTAGCCTGCGACACTTATTATTAGAGTCAACAATTTGAAATGGCCAACTCACCTGGTGCAGTCGTCTCTTCTCCACCAGCTTTCTTAAGGTCTGGTAAGTGTGTAGACCCTGAAAGGGTCACTTGGTAATTTTAAATACCTTTATTTTTAAAGGTTGTTGTCACACTATATCATTTTGGTTTTATTTCCTCTTTGGTGGGCCCAGACCTAAGCACCATTTCAGCTAGGCTTAGGCTCATGTTAGCATTGTGTTTTAAATGAGGCCTGTTGTGGTTTTGTGGTCTAGGGCTTGAGAAGGGCTGAGTAGAAGCCCTGCCCTGACACTTGGCAAGCTCTTTGTCTAAGGACAGTTCCTTGGTGCCTGAGAACCTAAATAGTCAAATGGGTACATAGTATAGCTTCTTAAATGACTTTTTGTCTTCTTACATAATGAAAGCAACTTTCATAAATCAGAAATTTTGGATCAACATCCCACATGTGTCTACTCATTATCAACTCCCTATGAAGTAGGTATTTTTATTTCATAGGTCTTATCACAGATAGGAAGTGATTTATCCTAAGACTATTGTTTCAGAATTATGCTCTGCACTCCATCCCATGGTTTCTTGGTGTAAGGGCTAGAGGAGTTGTTGGTACAGTGGCTTCTTAGAGTATTGTGATGAGAGCTGATTGAAAGCTGCAGAATCAGCTTCCCAGATGAGTGCATATGATTTTGAAAACAATTTTAAGGTAACTTATGGCCCCAGGAGTGAATACATTTGGATTCTGATTAGGAACCTAGTCCTTTGGATGCTGGCAGTCTTACTTTACTTTTCTTTTTAAGTACCAGGTTGTTTTCCATCTTGGCTTTCCCTCTAATAGTTAGGTTTTCGGCATTAGCAAAGTCAGGGGGACACAGAATGCTGAAGATATGCTTTTGTACAGCAATAGTTCTTATAATCAAGAATTATTCTTTGACATTACCTAGAGTGTTTGAAGGCAGTAGAGAAGAAGCTTTTCCAGTACCATCTTATGAAATTTAAATTGAATGCACTAAGAAACAAAATAGAAAATAGCAAACTTCAGTGTTATAATCCATGTTAAAGAATCATTAATATAGTAAGACTATAAATACTTAAAAATTTTATCTGTTAATAATTATATAAAGTGTTCAGATATATCATTTATTTACTTATTTAGAAATACTGCATTTATATTGGGAATGATTTGCTTTCCCTTATTGTACCTTGGACATTATAATTATAGGAGATTGTTTTATTGCATGTTTTCATCTAATAAGCTTTTTTTATAATTTTTTGTTAGTTGTAGGTGGACACAATAATGTAGCTGATTATTTCATGTATTTTAACCTTCCTTATTCTTTCTGGATATGTTTCTACTCTTTTTTCTTTTGGAGGTACTGGGGATTGAGCCACATCCCCAGCCCTGTTTTGTATTTTATTAGAGACAGGGTCTCACTGAGTTGCTTAGCACCTCACTTTTGCTGAGGCTGGCTTTGAACTCTCAATCCTGCTGTCTCAGCCTCTCGAGCCACTGGGATTACAGGCGTGTGCCACGGTGCCTGCCTGTTTCTACTTTTTATGGAATTTAGTGTGAATTCTGCACTTTTATTTCTATGTGTGCATATAAGAGTTATGCTCTGACTGCTAATGCATTAGTATGTATAGTGGTTGAATGTAATTTGTTTTGACTGCTTAAAATGAAAGAGAGATCTTGATATCCAGGGTTTTCTCTAAAGAAGCTTGGGGAAAAAATAAAGAACATTTGAAAAAAATGTACAAGACAATGAATTCATAAAGAAATGCAAAAGCCAAAAGAAATTAAATAATTATTAAATAAATTAATAATTATTTAATTATTTAATTTTTATTTAATTAAAAATTAAATAAATATTAGGGAAAGAATATGGTATCCAATACCCCAGATTGCTTCCATTTCTTCAGTGGCTACTATAGTATTCAGTATATTACTTTAACTGAATTGGTCAGCCGTAACAATCATTTTGGCTTTGCTACAGGTGATTATAATAGTGATGATACCATAGTCTGAAGAGAAATGAAACAGCTTGTTATTTTTTCTTTAGTAATTTATGAGAAAATAAGCTAATAAATTATTCCTTTGTGAAATGAATCATCACCTTTTCTATATCTTGCTGAGTGTATCGGCATCCAATAAGCGGGTTTCAATGTGACTTGAAAACAGGTTTCAGACTTCTGGAATCTGGTGAATTAGAGCCCTCTAATGAAGTCCTAATGAAAGAGTATATGGTTTCTGGCTCTGCTGTTTACTACCTGTTTGATCTTGAGCAAGTTACTTTAATCTTTGGAGACTCAGTTCACTTTATTATTTTCTAAAAAACAAACAAACAAAAAAACGGGATAATAAAACCCACCTTGAGAGATTATTGTGAGGATTAAAGAAGATATTAAATTCAAAGCATTTTGATATTTAGTAGCTGCTCATACATTTTATT